GGGCGGCGGGCGGCGGGGCCTGGCTCCTCCGCTATCTCCCTAGCTGGGCTCCAGCTGGTGTTGACACAGCAAACACGCGCGGCTCCCATTCGCCGGGCGGCGTGGGCAAACAGGAGGGGCACAAAGGCCACGCGTGACCAGCCTCCCAAACGCCGCCCGGCCAGGCAGGACGCGTCCCCGCCGGACAGCGAGGCCCAGAGCGGGGGGGGGGGCGAGGCCCAGAGCGGGGGGGGGGCGGGGGGGCGAGGCCCAGAGCGGGGGGGGGGGGCGAGGCCCAGAGCGGGGGGGGGGGCGAGGCCCATAGCAGGAGGGGGGTGCGGGGGGGGGCGAGGGGGGGGGTGAGGCCCAGAGCGGGGGGGGCGAGGCCCATAGCAGGAGGGGGGTGCGGGGGGGGGCGAGGCCCAGAGTGGGGGGGGGGGCGGGGCGGCGAGGCCCAGAGCGGGGGGGGGGGGGGGGGCGAGGCCCAGAGCGGGGGGGGGGGGGGCGAGGCCCAGAGCGGGGGGGACGGACGAGGCCCATAGCAGGAGGGGGGTGCGGGGGGGGGGGCGAGGCCCAGAGCGGGGGGGGGGGGGGCGCGAGGCCCAGAGCAGGAGGGGGGTGCGGGGGGGGGGGCGAGGCCCAGAGCGGGGGGGGGGGCGGGGAGGCGAGGCCCAGAGCAGGGGGGTGAGGCCCAGGTGGGGAGCGGGAGCGGGGGGGGGGGGGCGGCCCAGTGAGCTGTCCGGGGGGCGGCTGGGTGGGGTCTGCACAGCCCCGTGGGCCCGCACGCTGGGTGGGGCTCGAGGGGCTCAGGCTTGTCCGCGGCCCCTCCCCGTGACCCCCTGAGCACCCCCCTGCACCGGGGTCTCGGAGGCCCGGGCGTGAGCTCTGGTGACAGACGCGAGGCTCTGCGTGTCCCCCGCACAGGAAGGGACACCGAGGCCGGGCGGGGTGGGTGCAGCACAGCCAGGTGAGCCCCCAGTTCCTGGCGACTCCTCCGAGCCGGGTCCGGCACCCTGTGCGCCATCCAGAGGGTCAGGCACGGCCAGGGGTTCCTCTGGGGGCAGCAAGGTCAGAACCGGAGGACTGTGGTCCGAGGCCGATGTCAGACTCCAAGGAACAGCGTCGGCAGAGCCAGGCGGCAGGCAGTCCTCCGTCACCACACGCGTGTGCAGGCACACAGGCTGACACACGGGCTGACACGCCTTGGGCCCTCTCCTCCCTCCCTCACTCTCCTCTCCCTGGACAGACCTCAAGCACCCCTTTCCACCCCCCTCCTCCCCGGTCACCATCCACGGCTCCCACCGGCTCTCCCTGAGGCGTGGTCACATCCTGTCACCCTGAGCGGATCCGTCCCGCCCCCGGCACCCACCCACCGGGCACAGGGCCGGGAGACAGAGTCTGAGGGCGGACAGGCCCGGGACAGCCAGGCCCCTCCTCTCGGAAACCCCAGGGCCCATGGCTGTGCGAGCACAGCGCCCGGGGCTGGCCGCCCCCAGGTGCGGGCCGTCTTCTCACTGCCGCCCCGGCCCGCCCCGCCCCCAGGCTGGGCTGTGCCCTGTGCCCTCCCACCAGCCGTGCGGCTGCCACAGGGGAGGCTGCTCGCGTGTATTTGCACCCACAGGAATGGGGGCAGAAGGGCGCCTGGCTGCCCGGGGCCGCCTGCACGAGGCGGAGCCAGCCTGACAGGTGCAGCTCCTCCCAGGATGCAGCTGTGAGTCCTGCTCGTCTCTGTCCCCTCCACCCCCTCTCACGTGGGGGACACGGTGATTTACAGGCCACACTGCGGGGTCCCTCTGCTCCCCCGGCTCCTAGGCGCAGGCTGGTGCCTGTCCCTCCCTCCGCCTTCCTGGGAGGCCAGCTCAGACCCCACCCCTCCGGCCGCTCCAAGACCTGCCCTCCCATGTGCCCTGCTTGGCCCAGTGGCCCCACAGCTGCTGGCCTGTCTCCTTGTCGCCCGGGCCCTGGAGGACAGAGATGAGCCGGCACCTGCCCGTCCTACCTTAGACACCCTGCCCCCGTCTCCCCCACGCACGAGGATTGCAGAACAAAGGGCCAGACACTATTAAGATTCAATTAAATCTCTCTCCTCGGATCCTAAACTAGGCTGGTCTGTCCCTGTGGCACCTGCAGGCCCTCTCCTCTGCCACCCAGCACCTGCCCCCGCCCAGCACCTGAACCCCCGCACAGCACCTGCCCCCACGCTGGCGGGGACCCTGGGAGGGGACAGAGCCCCCTCAGCGCACACTCCTCTGGGTCGGGGGTCCAGTGTCTCCCTCATCTCCTCCAAGCTCAGCATTGGCTGACCCCTCACCCATGTCCTAGATCCCCCCCCCTCGGTGGGGGGTGCAGGCCCACGGCTCCCAGCTGCACCTGCCGCCCTCTTTAGCCCGCCACCCTCTCGGGGTCCCCAGGACCCTCGGGTGGGTGGAGAGTGGATGGCAGTTCCCCTCCCTCCTGCACGGGTGTGGCCACCTCCTCCCAGGAGCTAGCTCCCTCCGACCCCGATCTGGGGGGTCGCCTAGCACCTCGTGCTGGGGTTTCTCCTGAGCACTCACCCCCCCCCCCCAGCCCCTCCTGGCTCACTGCTGGCTCTCCCTGCTGGGGTGGCCCTGGGCTCCCACACCACGGCACTCACAGGGCCCGTTCCCTCGTCCCGCCCCCCTCCCTGTCCCTGGCGGTGGCACCTCGCTGGAGGGCAGGGAGATAATTAGCCGAAAACACCGCCATCAGGAGAGGAGCTGCCGCCCGGCGCCCACACAGGAGCCTAATTGGTGCCATGTGCCGCCTCCTGTCTCGGCGGGAAAGGGGAAGGTCGAGATCTCTTGATGCCGGGAATGGAGGGCGGCAGACCCGGTCAGCCCCCGCAGGTGCGCCTTTTAATTGCCCGGAGGCGGGGGGCGGAGGCAGAATCCCCGCCTGTCTGTCCCCTGTCCCCGTGCCTCTCAGCGAGAACCCAGAGCCGCAGCCGCTAACGCTTAAGAGGCTCCCGCTGGCTGACACCACAGCTCTGTCCTCGCCATCTGCTCGCCCACCCCGTCATGAGGCACCGGTGGCCGCCAGCTGCCCAATGCCCAGCTTGCCACCGCCTCCAGGCAGCCCCGAGCTCACTACTGGCCCTCGGGCTGAAGGGACCGTCCTCCTGCTGGGGCCGCCCGCCCGGCCTGTCTGCCCCTCTGCCCATTAGATTGGGGGGGGGGGGCGGGGGGCACTGCCCGCAGGGACAGCTGGCAGTATTTGGAGACATTTTTGGCTGTTGCCTCCTAGTGGGAGGCTGCCTACCTCCTACCGGGCACCGAGCAGCCGCACACAGACGTACGGGCCCCAATGCCAGCGACACCAACGCTGAGACCCTGCACAGCGAGGGGCAGCCTGGCATAGAGGGCGCGGGGGCGAGGGGCTGGGGGCGGGCAGACTCTTCTCCCTGACCGCCCCTGTCCTGGCCCCCGGCTCACCCCCGCTCCTCGGAGCGCCGGCCGGGAGCGGTTCCTGAACAGCCCCGGCCGCGCTGCCAGCAGAGCCTCCGCTAATTGGGTTAAGTGGCCATTAGCGCAGAAGCAGGGCGCTGGGTGCGGAAGGGTTTTTAATTTCTCTCTCTAAATGATGCTCGCTCCCCCGAGAGGCCGCTGGCAGTGGGACGCTGCCCACTGGAGCCCCCGGTGCCCGGCCGCAGCAGCACCCCGTGTCCCGTCCGCCGGGGCCGTGGGGGTGCGGGGAGGGGGTGCCCGGTGCCCTGTCTCCGTGGATGGTTCCGGGAACTGGGAGACCGAGAAGGGAACTGCGGGGGCGGGGCCGGGCCCAAGGTCACTGGGTCATCACAGGAGAGACCAGAACCCCATCTCGCCGTGGACAGCAGGTGCCACGTGGCCACTGGTGGTGGCACAGAGGAGGGCAGAGAAGGGGGGAGGGTGGCGGGTGGGGGCTGGCACTAGCTCCCTCCCACCCCGATCTGGGGGGGTCGCTCTAGCACCTCGTGCTGGGGTTTCTCCTGAGCACCCCGCCCCCACCAAGTCCCTCCTGGCTCACTTGCTGGCCTTTCCCAGTCTGAGCCCAGCTGCCCGATCTCACGCCTGCTTTTGCTGGGAGACCTGGGCCAGTGGCTCGCCAGTCCTCAGAGGCAGACTGGGACCAGGAGGAGAAGCGTGAGGCTGGTGGGAGGTGCGGGGCGATCTGCCGTGTTCTAGCTCACCGCAGGCTCTGCCCATTGTGTGGGTGTCAGTGCTACTTCCCTCCCCGTTAATCCTCACCCCAACATGTTTTTTCCGTTGATTTTTTTTTGAGAGAGAGTGGAAGGAAGGCAGGTGAGAGAGAAGAACAGCGATGTGAGAGAGACACGTAGATTGGTTGCCCCCCACCTGTGGCTCAGACCAGGTATGTGGGTTCTCTTGACCAGGAACTGAACCCATGACCCTTCAGTGCGCAGGCCAAACGCTCTAACCACTGAGCCACACCAGCCAGGGCTGTGCGTCCCTCCTGATTGGACTGGTCTCCGACACAGGCGGGGCGGCTGCAGTTGTGCCTCTGCTCCAGTGGGTGGGAGACCCAGCCTCACGGAGCCGCTGCGCTCGGAGTCCAGAGGAGAGGCCGAGGCTCAGAGAGAGGCCGGGGACCAGGCGGAGCTGTGGGCAAGCAGAGGCCCGCACGCCTGCGCCACGTGGCCACAGCCTGCCCCGCGGGGCCCTCAGGCTCCCCTCTCGGCCTCCCCATCGGGCCGGCCGCCAGCCTCCAGGCACGGGCAGGCCACCACCTGCAGGTGCTGCCCTGGGACGCTGACCACACAGCAGAGCGAGGGAGAACCACAGGAGGCAGAGGCCCCTCCATCACACCCACACAGGGTCCCCCAGACCCAGGTCACCCCGTGTGCAGCCTCCCCCAGATCGCACCGCCCGCTCCCGCCTCAGCCGCCACGTCCCCGAGGCCCAGCCCTGCCCGAGGCGGCCGGCCTGCGGCCAGGGCGCCAGGAGGACGGCGCCCTCAGGGGCAGGGCCGCCCCCGGCCCGCCCTCCATCCCCAGCGGCTCCTACCTTCAGGGCCTGCACCTTCCGGGCCAGCAGCCCCTCGATGTCGCCGGCCACCTTCTCCACCAGCGTCCGCGGCTCGTTCTCCTGCACGGCGAACAGGTTCCGGTTGTCCCTGTAGATCTGGGGGGAAGCAGAGCGGGTGAGGCCCGGTGTCCCACCGTCCCGTGCGCCCCCCTCTCCCCGCCCCCTCCCCCCGGCTCTGGCCACGGAGACAGAGCGCCGGGCCTGGGAGGGGCCCAGTGGCTCTGGGACGTGGAGGAAGGACATGGCCCCGGCCACGGGGGCACTGGCTGTGGTTGTCGCTCTGGAACTCGGGGTTCCCGGGGGCAGCACCCCTGCCTGGCCGCGTGGGGAGAGCGGCGAGGGGGAGGGTGGGCGGGAGAGGAGTCATGAGGGGGGCCATAGCACACACAGCTCACCACACACCGACACAGACACCCTCACGCTCACGCGTGTGCACACGCCACACACCCACGGGCACCGCAGCCGCCGCCCTCCACACGGGCTCTGGCAGCTGCACCCCTTCTCGCTGGCGCTGCCCCAGGGCAACTGCAGAAATGGCAGCCGGAGGCCTGGGTGCCCCAGGGGTCCTCTGTCATTCAGGGCACGGAGAGTGGGGGCGGGGCCAGGGAAGGGCGGGAGCGAGTCTGCCTCCCCTTCCCCCTTAGGGGGCATGCACACGGGCATGCAACTCTGACAGCCCGCGTCTGCGTGAGCGAGCGTGTGCTACGGCTCAGCACACATCCACCTGTGCCGTGCTGCGTGCTGGTGTGTGTGTGTGTGTGTGTGTGTGTGTGTGTCAGAGCCTGGGGCTCGCACAGTCAGAGGAGCAGATCCGTGGGCATTTCTGTTCGAGTGGAGGCCTGGGTGTGTGTGTGTGTGTGTGTGTGTGTGTGCACGTGTGTGTGCACTGGACAACCCTGCAAACGCCTGGGCCTGACTGGGTCCAGGTGTCCATCCAGGTGACCGGGCAGGTCCTGCCACCCTGACTGAGCTCCCGCCTCAGGCTGTGCAGGGGGGGGGGTGAGAGACGGAGAGGGGCGAGGGGGAGGGCACAGGAGGCGGGAGAGGCTGCAGCGAGAGGCAGGCAGGCAGGCGGGAGATAAGGTCGGAGAGTGACAGAGGGGAGGGGAGATAAGGCCTGGGCATCCGACAGGGCGGGCAGAGGGGGGGCTGGGCGCCTCCTGAGCCCCTGCCCGGCAGCGCCCGGCAGCCCACGGGTTAACGCTCCGCACAGGGCGGCTCCCGCCCCTCCCCCCGGCCCCGGCTGCTCTTTTCTTTGTCCTTCTCCGAGAACAAAATAATTTGCGGGGAAGTTGCTCCTTCCCACAGAGCAGGCCACCGAGGGCGGCCGCGGGGCCGGGATAAAGAGCCGGGAGTTCCAGGGGACACAGGCCAGGCTGCCCCCGCCCCCTGGGCTGAGCCACGGTCAGGGGTCCCCCACGGCGGCAGAGGTCAAGGAGGGGTGAGGGCCGGGGAGCCTCTGGGGAATGCGGGAGCCGGAGCCCACGGCGGGAAACAGGCTGAGAGGCAGGCGAGGGCGGACCAAGGACACACTCCTCCCTGCTCCCTGCCCCTCCCGCCAGGTTCCAGGAGCCAAAAACACCCCTTTCCAGACCCCCAGTCCAGCCACACTGCCCGAGCCTGCGGAGCGCACCCAGCGCTCTGTGCCAGCAGGGGGCGCAGCTGCCTGGCAGCTCGGGGCACCGGATGCTGCTCTCCTACCTGATGCCCCGTCAAGGTCATTCCCAGGTGCCCCTATCCCAGGGGTCCAGCCAGACCTGAGGCTGGGCCACGTGGCCTGCGGGCACCTCCCGGGGACCGGTGTCCCTCGCAGCCTGGCACGGTGACCGGGCAGGGCCAGGGAGCCGCCAAGAGAGCGGGTCTCCAGGCGGCAGGGTCACCCCCCACCGCCCAACAGACGGCACGAGGGCTGGAGGCAGGGGACCCGCCGAGAGGCGCCCCCTCCCTGAGCCTCTGTCCGCTCCACAGCCCCCGAAGCAGGCGCCGCACGGCCCTCTCGGCGGCTGCTGTTCCCGCACCAGGACCCTGCAGGGGGACCCGGCCCCTTCCCGCCCACCCTTTCCGGCTAGATCTGCACTCGAAGCCACCGCCCCACCCCTGGGCCCACAGCCTCGGTCTCCGGGGCCTGTCCCCCCTCCTCCCCGGCCTCGCCGGGCAGTCCCTCCCGAGCCATCTTGTCCGTGTCTCCGACACCTCGGCCTGTGTCCTGGGGTGACGACAGGGAGCCAGACACAGGGGCGCCACAGCCCCTCCTCGGTCTCTCCCAGCACCGGTCTGTGTGCGTGCCCCTCGGCCAAGGCCTGTGCCCAGGCCCAGGTCCAAGAGCAGAGCTCGGGGCCCACTGGTCCCGGTCTGAGGCCTCCAGCCTGGCCTGCAGCTCAGCAAGCGCTGGGGGCTGGGCTGCACCTGCCAGGCTTCCTTCCCGGCCATTCCACCCAAGGACCGCCCCCCCCATCACCTCCCGTGGTGCCTCCTGCACCTGCAGGCTCTGGGTCCCCGGCCCCGAGATTCCTCCTGCTGCCCCTCAGCTGACGCTGCCTCTGCTCCCTTCACCTCCCCCTGCCCATCCCACTCCTCCCTGGGCCAAGGGTGGGGACGGGAGCCAGGCGTTGCTGGGGCGGTGAGAGCACAGTTCTAGAATGCGGGGGCTGCTCCGGCTCCCAGCCAGGCCTGCCTCCTCCTCCCAATGGGTCCTGGGGTGGGAGAGACCCCTTCCTCCTGCCCCAGGTGCCTCGAACCTCTCGCCATCACTCTCCAGCCCTGCTCCCGTGGCCCTGTCCCGGGGGGCCTGGAGCTGAGACCCCAGACACAGCCCAGCAGCTGGGCCCCGGGAGATGGGTCCTCTCCCCGTGCGGCCCGGGAGGTGCTGTCCACCGCAGGCCCGGCAGGAGCGCGGGTGCAGGGCTCAGCGCCGCAGCGAGAGCGCACGCCTGCGGTGTCCTTGGCCGCGAGCTCGCTGGAAAAACCCCGCGCCCGCAGCGCCTGCACGTCCCCCCCAAGGCCGCTGGGCCAGAGCGAGACGGGCTGCAGGTCCACAGGTGGCCGTGGCTCCGCACCAGCCTGATGGGGAGGGAGGGACGGAGGTGGTGGATGGCAGGGGGCAGGCGCCTGGAGCCAGGCGGGCACAGGGGGAGGGCAGGAGGCAGTGGCATAGGAGTGTGCGGGCTAGGCGGGTGGTGTGGAGGGTCTGAGGGGACCTGGGGCAGAGCCAGGGCGGTGCCGGCGGCCGGGGCCCGTGGCAGGCGGGCGGCCGTCCTGGGAGGGGGAGGGGAGGCCCGGCAGAACCAGCCTGAGCGACTAACCAGCCGCCCAGCCCCGTGAGCGAGACAGGCACGCGGCGGCTCCTCGCAGCCAAGGTGAACGGCCCTAATCTCCGGAAAATTAAATCAGAGAGAAAATGGAACGAGGAGGATTGGACGCAGGCGGGGCCCTGCTGCCGCTGTCTGCTCAGAGGCCCGGCTCCACTGGGGGCTTCAGCAGCCCGGACCCTCCCCCCTGCCCAGGTGCCAGGCAGGGTCCAGGCAGGCGGGGGGAGCTGAGCCCCACGATCAGGCGCCTGGGGGCTTCCTGTTCGCAGCCCCCTCTGGCCACTTCCTGCTGTCGGGTCCCTGGTCTCGAAAGCAGCAGCTTTGGGCCTCCAACCCCCTGGCCCTCGTGCCGACAGGTGGAGAGAGACGCAGCGAGTGGCCGGCGATGGGGCTGGGCCTCCCTGGCCGGGCCTACGGGCAGGCGCCGGAGCCACAGGCTGGGCTGGAGGCGGGGCAGCTGCTGGAATGGGGTGCCCTGTGTCAGGGACCAGGGGAAGCTTGGGTGGAAGACAGGGTGCTCGTGGTGGTTCAGGGACCCTGAGGGGGGCCAGCAGGGAGGAGGGGTGCTCGGGGACCCCAGCCCGTCAGGGCCAAGCCCCTGCCCCAGTCCTGCCAAGCTGTCCCCCGTCTCGTGCCTTTGGGGGGACGCCTGGGTTAATCGCCCTTGGAGACCAAAGGACTGACCGATGGGGCAGCCGGGGACCGGGGGATCCCCCCTCTGAAGACACGCAGGGCAGAGCCGACCAGCCCTGAGCCCGCAGCCCAGCTTCTGCCGGGACTGTGGGGTGCCCCCGGCCGGTGCACGAGAAGCCCAGCCCCCTGCTCTGGGGACGCCCCAGGCCCGGGACCCTGTGGCTGCGAGCTCCCTGGTGCGGGCGGTGGCCGCCCTGCCCTTCCGGTGTGGACTCAGTAGGAGCAGGACAGGGAGGGGCAGGGCCGGAGCAGGGAAATCGGGGGTGAAGGTGCCCGGGGGGAGGGCGCACAGGAGTTGGGGGGGCAGAAAGGAAGCTGAGGGGAACGGAGGCTGATGCCAGGGGGTGAGGAGTGGGGGTTCTCGGAGGAGGAGGGGGTGTGGCCTCGATCACAGGCGAGAAGGCCCTGGGCCCCCACAGGCAGCCGATTTCCCTTGGAAAACGCACGCGCCCCCCCCCCCCGCCGCCCCCCCAGCAACGCCCCCCCACTTTCAAAGTTAAAGTTTAGTTGACTGTCATCCATTACCGCAATTAGTGCATTATGTCTAATTATGCAATTAGTGTAAAAAGTGCGCTTGCTGCCGAGAATGGGAAATTGCGCTGGCTCGTTACGCTGTGAAATCTATGTCATAAAAAGGCTCAATCTCTTGTTTTCTCAAAAGACACAACATCCAGCACAAAACAATACGCCAGAGCCTCCCAGCTGAGCAAGCGCCAACCTGTGCCAACTGCCCGCACCGCCCCCTCGCCGACCCCGCTCTGCCAGGCCGGGGCCCTCCTGGGCGGCCAGTCCCGGCTCCTCGGACACTGGCGGGAGCTAAGCTGCGTTCAGATCCATGCCGACCCGATCCCCCATCCACGCTCCCGGCCCTGACGAGGTGCGAGGCCTCCAGCACGGAGGCCTGTTACCTTTCCGGTGAGGATGGTCCCCGAGGGCCACGGCCTCCGCCCGGCTCAGGGGACGCGGGAGGAACGTTCCCACACTCCGGGCTCCCAGACCCTGGGCGCTTTGCCCCGAGAGGGAGTGAGCTCCCCGTCACGGGCAGTAGGCAAGCCCAGCTGCCCGGGATGCTGGGAAGGGGTCACCGTCGGTCAC